TCCGCATGCTAGTCAGGAATTCTCACTGCTTCACTAAATCACTTAAAGCTTCATTTCTACAACGTGGGTTTTAATACCTCAATTTGCTTTACTGTTTCTTTGCTGAAGCTATTCCAGAGCAATACATGAGAAAATGACCACAGGGTGTCACTATAGAGTGGGGTTTCGAAACTTCGACACATTTGCTTCGACTGTTTCAGTGTTTCATGAAGCCTCGCTTTGCCCACCACTAATCTAAAGACAGGCAGAAGGTTCAGGGCAGGCGGCAAAGAAAACAAAAAAACAAACAAACATGATAAACAGTCCAAAGGTCAAAAACACGGGAAAACAAGAAACAAGCTAAACACTGTGAATTGAATGCAACAGCTAGACAATACTCAGCAATGTGTGTGTGAAACTAAGGGTTTTAAATAGTCCGGGTGATCAATGATAATGAGTGTCAGCTGTGGTAGGAGTGATTGGTGCAATGACTTCCGGGATTTGTAGTTCGGCAGTAATGTAGGAAGTAATCTCCTGCGGAGGCAAAACTGCAGGCGATCCCAACATCAACTCAATTAAAAAATTGCCAGAATCATTTTGATCTGTTTCTGAAAAAAAAATGTAACATGCCTTTCAGCGCCACTTGCCGGAGTTTTTTTTTTTTACTGTGAAACACAGGGGCGTAGCGGACATTTTAAAAGTGGGGGAACAGCTGAATGAGATCCAAACGTTTACATTCATATATTTATTAATCACCTGTTTCTAAAAGCTCTGTCTCTAAAAGTGAGTCTGTGCTTTCAAGTTGCTATGCCCATGGTAAAACATACACATTTCTAACATTCTTCAAAATATCTTCTTTTGTGTTCAGCACAAAAAAGTCATATAGTGATAACATGAGAGTGAGTAAATATCCTAAATATCTATTTCATCAAAAGATGTGAATTAAACGTATGCGCAAAACTGGAACATTTGCGAATAAAGTGTTGTTTCCATACAACAAGTCAGAGAACAAAATCAAAGCCTTCTTATAAACTGTTGTCAAGTATCAAAAAGAAAAATGAAATTAGCTGCGATAGGAGAATCCACTTTGGGACTTTCATCTCATCTATTAAATTATATTTAGTTATATTCAATTACACAAGCATTTCTTATTCAATATTCCTAAATGCGCATAAAAATAAGTGGATTTAAACGTAGCTACTGACAACGTAAACAAGAAATGTTTTAACTTAATTCAAGTAATCTCTCCTCATCTTACCGAAGTCAATTTATCCTGATAGGAATCATCATTAAGAAATATGGCGAAGATGTCAGCGTAATACTGTGCGTCATCGACATGCAAAATCTGGATCACAGGTAAAACAGATGGCGGTGATGAATGGAGAATCACACTTTAAAAGGCGAGGTTGTGAACGCTAGCTCTCGTTTTATTCTCTCAGACACAAGACCACATTGATTTCCTCAGTGAATTATTTAGCAGCCCAAGCAAGCACTGTTGCTGGTTCTTAGAGGTCCAGATGGGAAATAGTGAACAATACTTGTCTACTGTATTGAGGATAATTGTTTTTTTTTGCTTTGTTTATCCAGAAAATGTTTAGCCTAAAGCTTGAAAAATATATAAAAATATTCACAGCTGAAGTCAGAATTAGTTTTATTGTTTATATGGAAAGAAGATTTTTTCAACACGTTTCTAAACATAATAGTTTTTAGAACTCATTTCTAATAACTGATTTTTTTTATCTTTGCCATGATGACAGTACAGAATATTTGACTAGATATTTTTCAAGATACTAGTATTCAGCTTAAAGTGACATTTAAAGGCTAAGCTGGGATAAATAGGTAAGTTAGGGTAATTAGTCAAGTCATTGTATAATGAATAATTGTTCTGTAGACCAGGGGTTCCCTAACTTTTCAGCTTGCACCCTTCAAAATGACAATTCCAGTGACTTTTGACTTCCACTGTCCTCAAAGGTGGTTATAAACATACAAACAGTGCACACAATGGTGCACACACACCAATAGGAACCATACAAAGGAGCTTATTGACAACACAAAAATTATCTTATATTATTAAGCTATCGTAATAACCCCAGGGGGCGCAATCCAATGGAAAAAGAGTTAAAAGGCTGATGGCTTTTTATTATTTGCATGTTGTTTTTTTAACTGTTACTGATAAATAATATTGTTATCTTCTGTAGGTTATGGCAACACAATCTCACTGCAAGTAGTAACTTTTTGATTTGATTGTAATTGTTTGAATGAGAATTCGTACGATCTCATGCTTACAATTTAGAACAAATTGCTCATCCTCCAATGAAGGAGGGTTTAGGGGCGGGTTTAGGGGCGGGGTTGGTGCCTCGCCTGTTGCCAGCTTGTTTGTGTGTGTCATGACGTCACTCACTGTTTGTTTCCTGGAGTCTGGTAGGTCTTCCTTTGCGCACCTGCGGTGAGTTGCGCTACTACAAATTGGCTATAAATATGGAGTAACGTTGAGCAGAGAGAGAGGGCACTTTCAGACATCAAGGTTTATCTATTTTATTTTAACTTGCTGCCTTTTTTCTGGTATAAGTCCTACTTTATTATGATCGGTTATTTCTTGATTTTGTTAGTCTTAGGTTAATATTGGATATTTGTTGGAGAACGCGAGTTTTGATTCTTTATTCATTCTTGCTTAGTTATGACACGTGATTTGTTTTATTGTTTTGTTGTAATAAATTTACTAGTTTAGATGAAACTGGATTCATGTTCCTCTTTATGTAGAGTTCCTTTGTGGATTCAAATAAATAAAAAATGGTCCGTAACATGCCTTCTTTTTTTAAATCGCACATTTTCGTACGACTGAATTTGCCACTAAACTGACAAAACGTAAAATGGTTATGTTTCTTCATGAGATCAGGATGGTTATGGATAAAATAGGTTAATTGTATTCGTTTAGTAAAATATATGATATTTTTGGAAATCATCAAGCGACCCCCACTCATTCTCTCGACCCCCGAGGGGGTCCAGACTCCCACTTTGAGAATCACTGTTACAGATAATAAAAAAAATATATATTTCTTAAAAGGGTTAATAATATTAAATTCTTATATTCTAGCCAAAATAAAACAAATAAGACTTCCTCCAGAAGAAAAAATGTTTTAGGAAATACTGTGAGAAATACCTCTGTTAAACACCATTTGTGAAATATTTAAAAAAGACTAATAAAAAGGGTTAATAATTTGCATCAAGCTTCAATCAGAAGGACATTTCATCAACTCTGTAACAGCATTAGAGGTTTACACTGAAAAGTGGTTATTTCATCTGCAGTAAAGTTCGCTTTTACAAAGTCTTGGCAAGTTTACGGAGTTAAAACAAGTGAGAATTACAGTGTCAGAAAAGGCATGACTCGGTGGCGTCCCGAGAGCGTTTCTCAGACAGAGGGTGTGCGAGTGCTGTGTAATTGTTTGTCTTCAGCCTGTATTTATCGTCAACCCTTGGATAATCAGAGTGTCAGGATCTTGTAGGCGCTGAAGCATATGCCTTATAAATTTAATGACTGGATCGTTTATTAGCTGAACCATATATTTATGCGCTTTGCTTGTGGTCTGTCTCGTAGAGCAAGGTTTTCCCTAATTAAAACTGGACAATGAAAATGCCATCCTTAAAACATAATAATATGAATTATATGTAAGGTTATAATACACTATATGTTTGCTATGGGGCTACTGAAATTAACATGAAAAAAATCTGTTATGTGACCTTTGAAATGTGTGGCAGGACTTCATTATTCAAAGTGTGGGTTTTATATCAGATTGAAGCCAAATCAGAATATGATATTTCCGAAAATAATGTTTTAAAATGAAAAAAATTACAAATACTTTTCAGAGGAGGAACAAGTTATTTGATTAGGATTAAAAAGACTAAATAGCAAAAATAAATCCATTATGGTCTGATAAAATGTCTTCCCAATTAAAAAATAATGTTTTGTTTTAAATTATTTGTTTTAAATGAAAATCTGTTTTCTAAAGTTTAAACATTTGTTGTTTTTTTTGTCTAAAAAATATTTTAAAACTGAAATTAAATATAAATTACTATAAAATAATTTTTTCAATCCATGCGTATGTCAAAAATATAGAGTTTAAACCTGAAGTGTGTATTTTTTTGTGTATTTTTTTATTATATTTTTTATTTTTATTTTTTATTTTGGTTTTACACTTACATCAGGTACATGTCAGAGATCACACATCTGAATACACACACAAAATCACAAATATAAGCACAAATTCTGTACATCCACTTTCCTTTTCAGCATATGCTTTCTTTTTTGTGGGCATGTACACTAACGTTATACATAATAAAAAAAAAAAAATAAAAAAAGTAAAAATTAAATAAATAAAAAAAGCTAAAATTAAGTGAATAAAATAAAATGGGGGTGGAGGTGTCAAATAAGTAAAAATAAGTAAATAGGTAAAATAAGATATACATACACATCAGTATCCTTACGATTTTAGGTTAACAGAAAAGTTTGGGTCTAGGGGATGATAATTGCTCCATTTTTCCCAGAATGAAATAAATTGTTCCATTTTCTAATTACAAATGCGGTAATTTGCTCTATTTTCTAAATTTCCATTGTCATTTCTATCCATGCAATTAGGGTAGGACTTTCTTGTGACTACCATTTTTTTGGTAATGCTCTTTTTGACAGCCAACAACAAGATAATCATTAGATACTTATCCCTCTTTACCCATTCCTCAGGTATGTTTTTTTTGGTGTTAAAGTGATAGTTCACCCAAATTTTTATTTTGGTTGTCTTGCATTTTATAAAATCACCAAAAACTATGATTTCAGCTCGAAATGTTCTTGTTTTTCTGAAGAAAAAAGGCTTTCCACCTCATGAATGGCCTGGAAAGTGATTAAATTAACAGCAAATTTTTGAGTGAACTGTCCCTTTAAAAACTGTATTCCATACTTTTTAGGACACTGGTGCATCACAAATTTTATCAATTCTTTTTTAAAAATCTTTATCTTTCTCTATCCACAGGACAGCTCACGCAAGAGGGAAAGCCGACGCCGCAACAGCAGCAGCGCAGAAAGCCCAGGAAGAGTGCAGGTTGGCCCGGATCACCGCCAAAGAGTTCTCCCCCTCTTTCCAGCACAGAGGAAACAGTGAGTGCAACCAGCCGAGTCTGGAGACTAAAAATACCCAGGCTTCAAACTGCTTGACAGCTTGACTAAGCTTTCCAGTTAGCTGCGAATGCTAAATACTCCAATAAGTAATTTGAAAACGCTCTCCCACCGCGATTTGAAAGTTGCATATGTTTTGATTTTCAGTGCCCTACTGACATAAATGTAAAAGAGGGGGCGCTTATTTTGTAAGCTTTAGCCATTAGCAAGAGGAAGATATGTTAAGCCCAAAGTATATTTGGGTTTTTATGCATAAGGGATGGCATGTATGCATACAGTGTGCAGACAATTTACTTTCATCACCAGCATGATACACGTGTACTAGAAGTGTGTCGCCAAATTGTTTTAATCACTTGTATTAATTTGTCTATGAACTACATATTTTGTCTACATGGTAAAACGGGCCTTCATTTCACAGTCTGGAAAGAAACCAGGGTTATAGAAAACAGCAACAAATAATAATAATGATAATAATAATAATTCCATACATTTATTTAGTGCTTTTCTGTACACTCAAAGCGCTTTACAAATTTCTGGAGGGAATCTCCACATCCACCACCAATGTGCAGCATCCACCTGGATGACACAACGGCAGCCATATTGCGCCAGACCGCACACCACACACAGGCTGATGGTGGAGAGGAGACAGAGTGATGAAGCCAATTAAGATATGAGGCCATGATGGACAGAGGCCAGTGGGTAAATTTAAGCAGGATGCTGGGGTTAAACCCCCACTCTTTTTTCGAAGAACATCCTGATATTTTAAACAACCAAAGAGAGTCAGGATCTCGGTTTAACATCTAATCCGAAAGACAACGCTCACTGAGCAGCATAGTGTCCCCATCAATATACTGGGGCGTTAGGACCCACACAGACAACTGGTTGAGTGCCCCCTGCAGGCCTAACTAACACTACTTCTGGCAGCAACCTGGCTTTCCCATGTGGTCTCCCATCCGGATACGATCCAGGTGTAGCCCTGCTTAGCTTTAGTGGGCGACCATGTGAGAGTTGCAGAGAGCTAGCTGCCGACTGAATAGGGCAAAACAATAGATGTCCACATTGACATGCGTATATGTAAAGTGACTTACAACTCTATTCTACACAAGCACAACGTTTGGATAGAAAAAGACTGTATACTAGATGAGGATGAATCTTTCTAATGTGAATAAGTTCAACACGCTATCAAAGAAATGTGCTTTCAAAGGTGTGCATGATGTGCACAAAGAAAATGAAGTATACGCTGCGCTTTAGACAGCTCAGAAGGAGCTCAGAAGCAGCCGAGTGAGGGTGAAAGCCTCTGTGTGTGTGTGTAGGTGCCGGATGAGTTCGGGGCTGTAGGGGTCAATGCCCCTACCGTGCCATGCGGGGGGAATGAGTGATAGAAGAGGCAATAAGAAGATAAGGGGAGGTCAGCGTTGACCTTTATGAAGAGCCCACGCGAAGCTACCCGACATACACAATGAAATTTATGCATGCACACACACACATATTCACACCACCCACATACATAAACACACATACTGTATACACAGTCACACTTTTGGTCGCTGTCACACCCCCACACACCGGCAGAATTCATACACTTTCAGATCACATCCCATCACCAAACACCCTTTACAGGAGAGCGATAAGCCTACATGCTGTGCTGCATCATTGTGTGCGACCTCCTGGAAGGGTTGATATTTCTAAATGATCAAGTTATGTCATCTAATGACTTTAGAAATGTTAGCACAAACTTGGCTGAGATGTGCTGACTTGCAGCAGATTTATAAATGATGTTTACAATTGGGTGTGCAAACCTTTATAGGGTTAAACTGAGAGTTATGTACTTGTGGGTACATGGGGATGTGCGCCTGTAGCGCAAACAGACTTGAAAATCTCCATTCTCATTAGCCAAGCTGATTAGAGCAACCGTGGTGCTGACTCTGGAAAGCTTTGATAAGTTATACTGTATCAAGCTTTCCCTGGATGGTTGCTTCGAGCAAACAAGGGTGGTGCAGAATAAACCAAAAGTGAGAATCAATGATATTTTAGTGTTAAAAAATGTCAACCCCAAAGTGGCACATCAACCAAACCTCAGTTTTGAATACACAATACACAAATGATGACAGTCTTCAAACTTATATGTATTAATGACAACTATGATTATCCTGTGGTGTGGTGGGGTGGGCAACTCCAGTCAAGGAGGGCCACTTGTTCAGCTACATTCCCAGCGCAAACACACTTGAAAAATATAACCTACATCAGGGATCAAACTTGTTCCTGGAGGTCCGGTGTCCTGCAGATTTTAGCTCCAACCCTAATCAGACACACCTGAACAAGCTAATCAAGGTCTTACTAGGTATACTTGAAACACCTAGGCAGGTGTGTTGAGGCAAGCTGGAGCTAAACCCTGCAGGGCACCGGACCTCCAGGAACGATATTGGTGACCCCTGACCTACATCTTCAGACCTGTTCAGAAATTAAGGTCAGGTGTGTTTGAGTATAGATGGAGCTAAACTTTAAAAGATAGTGGTCCACCAGGATCAGAGTTGCCTACCCAATCTTATGGCATCATAAGACTTGAATTATAACACAGAAATTATGTGAAAAAAACAAAACTTTTTGTTCTGAAATATGTAAACAAACAAGAATTTGAGGTCTTTGAGTTCCTGTATTATCTTTTATTTACACAACCATTTATATATGTTATATCTTATATTTACATCCCCTACACCCCCTTTTGCAGAATAAAGCTCAGCAATAAGCATGTGCCAAGCCTACATGTTTTAAATGTAAAACTCATACATGTGTCTTTGTGTCAAGTAGGAGTGGAGTGCCAGCGACCCAAACAGCAGAACTCGAGTGAGAACGACGTGGAAGTTATATCTAGTGGGACTGCAGACAGCACTGAACTCTATATGAAAGGCTCCACACCTCCGGATCTAACCCCGGATGTGAGTCCCACTCCCAGTCGGCCCTCTACGCCTCCACGTAGCCCGACCACCAAATCTTCCCACCGCACCAAAAATGCCCGCTTCTTGCGACAGACTGCAGTGGATGAGGAGCGTGGGGGAACACAAGAGATCCAGGTGCTGATGGAAGGGAGAGGTGGAGGTGGTGGTGGTGGTTCAGGTGGAGGTGGAGATTACCTGAGGGCTAACAGCTGGAGTGAGGAAAAGCGTCCCTCCCGTGGGGGGAGCAGTAGAGGTGGTAGTCGGGGTAGCAGCCGCTCTACAACCCCTTCAGTACAGGACGAGGTACGGGTCGGAGCGGCACGGGCCAATGGCCACAAGCACTCTTCTAATCATAAGCCTCGAGACCACAGTTCCTCCAATCACAAAACCCCAAGGGAAAGACGGCCAGATGGACCTTCGGCTTCCTGGACGTCTCAGCGGGTACATGGGGACAGTTTGGCTCACTCCCGTCTCCTTGAGCAGGATGAGGAAAAACTGAGCAATTATGAAATGGAGATGAGGCCGTTACAGCCAATGGACTCCCATAACTCCCAGAAGCCCTATGGGCATGGGGAGGAGCGGCATGGTCACTCAGAGACCCGTGCACATATGTTACAGCAACGGGGCAAGAACCGTGATCGGGAGCGGGATGTCCGGGATGCTTCGGGTCACAGGGACACCCGGGAGGGGCCAGCTTTGGACTCAGTGCAAAAATTGGACAGCCTACGAGTGGGGGAAAAGCTAGAGGCTCGGCCCCTCCGCAGGGACCTAACACTCTCACCCCCACAGAAATCCCCACCTATTGCACTAGAGCACGATGACGAGAATCAGTCTCAGCTCAAAGTGAACTCGGTAGGTAAGATGCACCACATAAACGCTCATAGTGAGAATGACTTTTAAGATTAGTTTACCCAAAGTTTGTTTTTTGGGGTGTTGAGACGGTCTAATCCTTTTCCTAGACTGTTTGGCCCAATCCCAATTCTATTTTTGTACCCCAACCCCTTTGTCTTAGCCCTTGAAACAAAGTGTGAAGGAGAAGGGCTTTAAATTTTACCCCTAAGGAATAGGACAGCCTACAACCCCTGCACATAACATCATATGTCATTGCGATCTCTTGCTTCATATGAGACTGACAATCGTGACTCCTGTAGTTATTACAGTTGCGTTATTTTCCTGGTATTTATCTACAGGAAATCATGGAAGGCAACAATATCATGCAATCAATAATGATATAATGTGGCAATAAGATCATAACTGTACTGTGCTTTTATACCGTGGCCATATTCATCCATGTAAACACAGGAAAACAACATTAACGTTACACCAGACACTTTAAAAAGGTCATTCTCAGCCACTAGACTTTTCTGACAGGGTATCCGAGTGTCATCGAGTTACAGGTGAGAAAGTATGCTGTGTGGGACTACTATACAGGAGTTACTATTAGGGATTCGAGATAGCCAAATTTAGAGGGTTTTATTTTATTAAAAGCATGACGGTAAAACCCTAGCGCAGTTATGAATATGTTAAAACAAATGCTTGTTTGTTGTAAAAATTTGTAATGACAAAAAATACTAATGTGTGCATCTCTCTACTTTACTTCCGTGTGCAGCCATTGTGGTCGTGTTTTCTGGAAATTTTTGTACCCCTTGGTTTCAAGTGTGGGTCTAAAAAAAAAATCTCAGTTTAAAGGGGTATCTAGCCCTTCCTTTTAAGGGGGTCACATACCGGATGCGCCACATCGCGCCACGCATCGCCATGCATTTTAGAATTCTAAGTATAGAATTCTATCAGTATACGCACACCGACACATAGCGGTGCCCAGCTATGACTGAGGACACTGTTCATATTTCTGCCATGCCACAGAGCACCACTAGAGTAGTTTACTAGAGTAGTGGCCATACGTCCAACTCTCATGTGCATGCCGTGTCTCAGTGTTTAGAGGTGCATCCAGTGTGTGAAGCCCTTTAGCCCAACGCCCTTAAGCTAAAGAGAATTTGGACAAGTAAGGGGGAAGTGCTTAGTGGTAGAATTGGGATTGGGCCTAAATTCTGAGTGCCAAACATTTCTAGCAATTCTGAGTCTGTGATTAGACAGGAATGTTTATTTAGCAACAGTTTTAAACTCTCCTAGTTCTTCAGAAGCAGGATCAGACATCTTTATTTGGTGATCTTTTTGATCAATTCTTTATACTTGCATAGAAGAGTGATAAAACAATTAAAGATCGCTGTTTAAAAATGTTAGAAACCCATATACTGTTAAAACCAGAAGTTTACATACAATGTAAAAAAAAAAAATCAGATGTTAATGTGACCAAACTTTTTCTCTTTTAGGTAAGTTAGGAATATCAAATTTGTTCCTGTTATGCTTAATAGCAGGATAATGAGAGATATTTTTTGAGAAATTGTTATAGCTTGTCCAGAAAGTCAAGCTTACATACAATAAGATTCTTATGCCTCTGAAAAAGCTCAGATGATGGTGTCAAGGTTTTGGAAGTTTATGATTGGCTAATTGACAACATTTAAGTTAATTGGAGGCACAACTGTATAATGGTATTTAGGGAAAACCTCAACATGGGGAAAATCAACAAGCCAGAATCAACAAAAAAGCCAGTTTACAATTTGCTAAATTACACTGGGAAAAGACGAATTGGAGATATTTTCTGTGGTCTGATGGAACTAAGATTGAACTGTTTGGCCATAATGACCAGTGTTACATCTGAGGGACAAAGGGGAAAGCTTACAAGCCTAGGAACACCATCCCAACTATGAATTATGGGGGGCAGCAGCATCATGTTGTGGGGCTGTTTTGCTGCAGGTGGGACTGGTCCACTTCACAGCATAGATGAAGAACATTGTGACATAGAAGAACATAGAAGAAAGAACATTGTGTAGAAATACTGAAGCAACATCTAAAGACATCAGCCAGGAAATTAAAACTTGGCCACAAATGGGTCTTCCAAACAAACCATGACCCTAAGCATACTGCCAAATTAGTTAAAATGTGCTTTAAGGACAGCAGAGTGAATGTTTTGGAGTGGCCATCACAAAGCCCTAATCTCAATCCTATAGAAAATTTGTGGGCAGAGTTTAAAAAGCTTGTGCGAGCAAGACAGCCTACAAATCTGACTCAGTTACACCAATTCTGTCAGGAGGAATGAGCCAAAATTCCTAAAAACTATTGTGAGGAGCTTGTGGAAGGATACCCAAAACATTTGACCAAAGTTACACAGTTTAAAGGCAAAGCTAAAAAAAATGGTAATGTATGTAAACTTGTGACTGTCTAGAAATTAATAAGAATTCTCTAAAAAATAAAAATTACCTCATTATTCTTGCATTTAGCAAGTGTAAATGATTTAGGTAATCCTAACAGACCTAAAATAGTAACGTTTAGTATGATTTACCATCAGACATTTTTTCAAAAATGGTTATGTTCCTTTTTTTAAAGTGTATGTAAACTTCTGGTGGTAACTGTAGGTTTCGTAACAAAAGAGTTGAAGACAGAATCTTAATTTCTGTGTGAACTTGTGCTTGAATTATGCTTTTATTCGTCTTTATCATACTGTACAGCTTTAAATGACAGTAAATGATCTGTTTGGTGAATCATATCAAGACTGAATTATGAAACCCAGTTACATAATTTTAAAATAGATCAAATACATATCTAATCAACTGTGTCCACACCAGCTGAGTTAGTATGCATCGATGCCTGAGATCACATAGGTAGGAAAAATAACCTCCACAAACACATTGTAAATGTGTGGACTTTCACAGCACACAAGAACCAACAACAGACCAGATACACAACTGGACAAGCATCCAAACTTTAAACTGTCCCCCTCCATTGCCTAGCGGTGCTACGATCTCTTGCTGCACTAAGAACACCTTGGTAACAGCAAATTGGCAAAGTGGCTCCTTCCACAACGCAGCCCTGCATTGGCTGTTCCACACTCTGTTGCTAAGGAACAGCTTATGCCTTGCTCGGGCTGCAGCCAATCAAATGACAAGAGTGAGTTCTAGGAAGGAGGGGGTTTATGTTTGTAGCCGCAGAGAGGCAAGCAATGCAGCAGACTTGTGTAAGACAGGTTAACATGAAACAGAAACACATCCGCACAATAGATAGCCCTGATTAAGGAATTAGCAAACACTGTCAATGCTTTTAACAACATTTATACGTCTCTGGGACATCTAAACAACTGATTAGCTAAGCACAGGAGGAGGGAAAAACAGGCCTTACACAGCGCACAACTGTCTGGCTCTACAATAAAACAACTGAAAAGAGCAAAACGTGGTTGCTCAACAGGAAGATGTGCTAAATGTGACTGTGAGATACACTTGTCCTGATTCATTGTGCAAAATCAGCGCTCACAGCGTCTTCTTAACAGTACTGTGTTCGGTTCGCTTGTCACAGCCTAATTTCATGCCTCACATGTGTCTTGCATGTGCAGCACGCGTGTCCCTCTGCTCAAAGGTTGTAAACATTGTCCATGACACGCTTACATGAGCCCATCAATTAAAAAGTGCGCTCCACAAACCTGGCTCTTTGCAAGTACGTTCATCCTTATGAGGGCTGGTACAATGCAGTACAGATTCTCATTTCCATTGAGATAATACCGTATCTCTTCGGTGAGCCGAGGGGACTGGAATAATCATGCGGCGTTCTTTAAACATGCACTGTATTGTGCAAATGTGTTTTGCAGTGAATCTGGGACTTGACAAATTTACTAAACAGAAACAACCCGAGCAGGTGCAGATTTACTCTGCAGGTGTAAAAACGCGCAGGAAGAGAACAAGAAAAGTAATTCAGTTTCTGGCATTTTTAGTAGCTCAAACATGAGCAAATAGCTCAAATCAGAGCACTATTGCTAACCTTTAGGTGAACATCTAATCTAAGTTATACTACTTAAATACAAACTGTCTTGTAAGTAAGAGTTTGAGCTTAGGTAGATTTCGAGAACTCCCCTGCTGTAGTAGCTAATGAACAGATAGTGACTGCTCTTAGGAGATAACTACTTACTAGAAGCATGTCTATGGTGCCGATTTGAATTAGTTAATTAGCTTAAGTTGCATGACGGTTGGAGGAAAACAGGAGAAAACCCATGTGAGCACGAGGAGCACGAGGAGAACGCGTAAACTCCGCAGAGAAACGTCGGCTGGCTTGATATGACTAGAACAGTGCTAACCAGTGGGCCAACTGTGTCAACCATTGAGGAAAGGAAGGGGAGAATGGGTGATAGGGGGGATTCTTCAAAACGAAGATGGCTGTCATATGGAACTTAAGGTATTTAAAGTGGCTTAGGAATCGTCTGATTGGTGAATCATAAATTGGATAATGCGGGACCAGCCGCAAGCTATCATAAGCATGTGATCCTCTCGAATTAGTTCATAAATAAACTTCACTTATAAATATGTGGCTCTTTTTGGATTCTCGGAAGCTATGAAAATGAAAAATGTAACACAGGAAATACGTTAGGACCATTGTTATTGTTTACATCCCTCAAAATGGTCTATAGATCATATAAAGCCTGTTTTTCTTTGATCTTTCTTTGACTTATAAATAGTGTAGTTCTCTTGTTTTTTTTTTGTGCATAAAATAATTATTCAACTCAATCCAATGCACATTGTGTAAACAAATCCTGACCTTTCCATTCTTCTCTTTCCCCCCCAACAGGGCTCCAACTCGATTCTGGTAGTCATGGTGATTTTGCTCAACATTGGAGTCGCCATTTTGTTTGTTCATTTTTTTATTTGAACTCTGCATCGCCTATCAGTTCCTCTTCTCTGACTACACTATTACCGAAGTGTCATCACAACCGATCTGGTCCCGGCTCGTATTTTTTTAAAACAAAGACCACTGTACTTCCATTGAAGTTACAGCATGTCAACAGGAGGTCTGAGGAAGGCAACAACACAAAAACTGGGCTCAGCGGTTCCGTCTGCTTTTCTGTCTCCAAAGAGCTCATGTTGGTTTCTTAATTTGATTTTCTTTTCTAAATCTGAAATAGTTACAAGCATCCTTTTGAACTTCTAGTTTTATCCTATGTATTCACTCACTCATTGATGCTGTTATGAATTGATATACTTGTTTCTCTTTTGTTTTCTTTCATATTCCTTACTTGCCTTTTTCTTGATGATGCTGGTGGCTTTTGTTTGTTTCCTTTGGGTTTGGTTTGTATTTGGGCGTTGGACTCATTTGAATGGTGGCTTTGGTGAGGGAGGGTGTGCAAGGTGGCGTAAGGGTGAAGGGCGACCACCATCAACATCCTTTCGGGTGACGGCAGCCTTACACAGCTATGATGTCAACAAGGTTCAAAGTGATGGGAAACGGCCCCTGTCTAACCCCACCCGCCTCCCTCGCGCACCACTCCAAAGCATTGCTTATGTTTCTTCATGTCCTTGTTTTTGTCACCCATCAGAATAACCCACCAAGCGCTCCTATCATTACACCTCCATCTACCTTCTGTGTGGTACGTCAAATACCAGTGGACCCCAGAATGTCATGGTGGGCCTGAATTGAGACACTTTAACTCCATTGGACCTAAAATAAGGGGCAAAGCTTTTTGTTGTCGACACACCTTTGAATTCGCCTAAAAATGTTGCACATGTCGAAAAGAAATGGGCTTAACAAGCACAACCACACCAAAGTGGGTTAGTAAAAGTTCTGGTAATCACAGAAACACAGCGCCACCAGCGTTTCAGCATCTGCAACATTTGCACTCAGGCGAATCTGACCCACATGCATTTGGAAAAATTCCCAGATTCAGAAGTTCTAAGATCTGAAAGGGCTTCATCATTAATCTTGCTCCAAATGAAACTTTTTTTTTTCCTACCGAATAAATCATAACACAGTTCGACTTATTTATCTTTTCATAAACGGGTTCTGCATGTAAGATTATATACTGTACATTCAATACAACGTAGCATGGGTTGCACTTTCCTTTGAGCATTTTATGTTCTTTAAACATTCTTTAAATGTTGTATGAGGGCTAGCACATGACATTCTGTGAGGTCATCATCATTATGAACTTCTTAAAGACCGCCCCCTACTCTCTTTGATGAAATCACAAGAATGTGCGAGCTCCTGCCAACCTCACCATGCACACCTGAAAGCCACATGCTGCGCGAGATGCTGGCGTTCCCGACCAGACATTCAAGAGACTGTTAACGTTTTTTTCCCAACTGCTGCTTTCGAAAAACAAATATTTATTGATAAAAGGAAAAAAAAAACTTTTTTAGCTATTTGCAAGACGTCTGAAAAATGCCGACTGCCTTGTTTTTCTAAAAGTAAAAGAAAAAAAAACACAAAGTTGCATGCTAACGTATGTTTTAGTTTTGTACAGATAACCTTATTGAGGAAAAAAAAAACATACGGAAATGTGTGCTAGTGGTTTCGGACACGTTGTAAAACCTGCAAATATTGATTTCATTTGGACTTAAAATCTTCAACACACACTCATGTAAATCTGTAGGTATTGTTGATCACAGATGTACGATCAGATTTGTGAGATCAAACTCGCTTTAGATATCGATGCACTAAGGCACACAAAATCTAAACTACTTCCAGAGTTTCTTGCCCCTTGGTTAAGGTCACGTTCTTTGGGGCATGGATGTCACCCAAGTAAAAATCACATTCCAGAGCCTAATAGACTTCCTTGTGGACCCTCTAAAGCCTCTGGGCCCTGTGCACTCTGGCCCCATCATTTTCTAAGCCCCTGATTTGATTTTTAGGAGATGTGTGCGTCACATACTTTAATAGTCCACCCAGAAACAAAGCAGCTTCGCCACCAAACCCCTTGCGGAAAGAGCAAACCTTCAAGACTAAAATTGTAATAATGAGCATGCATTAAGACAAATTAAATGCTGTACTGTCCAAACTATCAAAAGTAGAACTCTTGATGACTAAAGCGCAAACTCTGGCATGAGTGATTTATTGATCGCACATTGGACATTTACCCCTAAACATAATGCTAAGCTGAGCAATTTTTATGGACAGAATTTCAAGGCGCAGCTTTGGGTTGGAGGGGGTCCGGTTTGGAGACCACAGTATTATATCTCCGTTGTTCGTCGATGATGTTGTTCTGTTGGCTTCATCGAACATGGACGTTTAGCATGCACTGGGGTGGTTTGCTGCCGAGTGTGACGCAGCTGGGATGAGAATCAGCACCTCCAAGTCCGAGGCCATGATGCTCCACCGGAAAAAGATGGTTTGCCATCTTCAAGTTGGAAGAAAGTCCTTGCCCCAGGTGGAGAAGGTTTTGTTCACGAGTGAGGGAAGGATGGAACGTGAGATTGACAGGCGGATTGGTGCAGTGGCAGCAGTAATGCGGTCAATGTACCAGTCTACTGTGTTGAAGAAAGAGCTGAAAGGCGAAGCTTTCGATTTACCGGTCAATCTACGTTACTACTCTCACCTATGGTCATCAGCTCTGGGTCATGTCCGAGAGCACAAGATCTCAGATACAATCGACCGAAATAGTTTTCCTTTGCAGGGTGACAGGGCACACCCTTATAGATAGGGTGAGGAGCTCTGTCCTCCGGAAGGAGCTCAGAGTAGAGCCGCTGCTCCTCCACATCGAGAGAAGTCAGCTGAGGTGGCTCGGGCATCTGTTTTGGATGCCCCCCTGGACGCCAGCTTAGGGAAGTGTTCCAGGCATTTCCCACCGGGAGGAGGCCTTAGCGAAGACCCAGGACACACTGAAGGGACTATGTCTCTCCACTGGCCTGGTAACGCCTTGGGATCCCCCCGGGGGAGCTGGAGGAAGTGTCTGGGGAGAGGGAAGTCTGGGGTTCTCCCCTAAGACTGCTGCCCCTGCAACCTGGCCCCAGAAATGCAGATACAAATGAAATTAAATGAAAAAAAAAATGAAATAACTATGATTGGTTGTTTTTACATGTCGATCAGACAATCTTTAGGGACCTTCTGCCATTAGTCTGGCTTTGCATGTGAGGTTCAACCCTAAAACTGACCCATGAAGAAATTCAACAAAAACGTACAAAAGTGATTGTGCACATTCAAGCAGTTCGCCAACGTGCTTACAAACTATCATAAGAGTGTGTTGAAATATTTTACCTTTTTGGCCAGCTCCATGATCCAAAGTGGAATAGGTCTGATCGGGCATGCCAATGATAAACCCGAGGTCGACATCCAATGGCCTTTCCGCCCAAAATCGAAACTAAAACAAATCAAAGAGAGGTGTTTTGTTTATTTTTTTATAGCCAGTTAACAGAACGCAAAGACTGAGATGTTTTTATAGCATGTGTGTATGGGCTTGTACTCTTCCCCCCCTTGAGTCTGTCCTCCTTGCAATGATTCATTCACAGTTTGTGTACTCTCTCTATCCCTCTTTCTCGCCCACCTCCCTTCCTTCCCCATATTTCTCCGTTTCTCTATCCAGCCGAAAAAGAAAACCAAAAGACCGAAAAATGTAATAGTACAACTATTCTGATGTAAAAGGACACAAGCTTGGGGGGGGGCCAAATGTATGGAGTCGTACATTTGCTCACCTCGCCTTGAGTCCTTGGGTTGGTCCAGGAAGTTTGCAACTCGCTGACTGGCTCACTTTGATACCACAACGGCTGTATGTGACGGGGATGGTGGGATTCCAAAGGGTCTTTAAAGCAGGAGGCTTCTGCAGTTGACCCGCACCGCCGGCTCTTGTATCGTTTGACCTGGATGTATCCGTCACCCTATGCGCCTATAGCATGCCCAAGCATGCCCAGTTCTTTTATCTCTCTCTCTCTCTTTCTCTTCCTCTGTCATTCAGTTCTTTACTTTTCCTGGGGGTCTGTTTCTTTTTTGAGTTATATGGAGAAAATAATGAAAGTGTTTGAAAGTAAGCACTTGTGTTGTGGTTATTGAGTCTGTTTTCTGAGTCATGTTTTGTCCGGGAAAATATAGATAATTATAGAAATTATACAGTGGAGACACAAATAATGACATAAAATGTCCTAAATTTTGAGATTGCCAAGTCTACTTTGAGGTTATCCTTTAAGTTTATTTCATAAACAACACACTTTGAGGCACAGTATAAATGAAAATGGAACTCAAATGGGATATTTAAAAAAGAAAACCAATCCAAACAAACACAACAAACATTCTGAGATACCTCTTAATTATTGGTGTTATACTAGTATTTGGTGGTTATTTTCTTAACTGTCTGATAAAACCTATTGAACAAACAGTTTAACTTTCTTTTTTTCCACTGACTTTGCAAGATTGTGAGCCTTTCTAAAGAGACTGAAACTATCTGAGAGCAGGTTGTTTAGATCAGTGGTCCCCAACCTTTTTATCACTGCGTACCGGTCAAAGCTTGACAATTTTACCATGGCCAGTTGGGTGAGTATAGGTAGATTATTAGCCGATCATCAATTGTTTTCTTAGAGGATGACAAGCTGACAAAACATTGCTGCAACTCTGATACAAGTTTTATTTATTTTTATTATAAAAAGCACTGCAGTGTTTGTCAGAGATAATTAGTCTACAGAAATGTGTATATTCCATATAAAATATGAAGCTGACCGCTCAGTTCTTGTCACATGACTCGGAGCATTCAAAAGATTTTTTTTTAAACTGTGTTCACCTGGAAGGTGCGAGCACATTGCGCCTCTTGTGCGTGTCTCTCCCAGAATGCACACAAGCCACGCGCCTCCATTGAAAATAGCAAACTTGTGTGCAGAAAAGACATCATTTTTGAATGACTGCCACCGCTGTCATTTGCAATCTCCAGCAGTTGATCTTCTTGCACAGACATG